CCAACATACCAAGAATAATTCCATACGATACAACCTAGGATTCTAATCATTTTTAAATCAACAAGGACACAATTCATCTTCTAATATCAGGATTCGGTAAGAATATCACATAAACATCAAGAACATCCCACAATCATCAAGAACATCATATAATCATCAAGAACGTCATATAATAATCAAGAACACCATAATTATCAAGAACCTCTCATCATCAAGATCACCCATGGAATCATCCCATCAATCATCAATAATAATATCACAAAACATCAATACAGAATAATATGGGGAAACCCTAAGAGGGGAAATCATTGCTATGAAAATAGGTTTTGTTGAGACATGGGTTACCTCTTAGCCTTAATTAATTCCTTGGCTATGAAGGGTCTTTCTTTAAGCTTTCTTCTTTCTTGATTTCTCCTAAGGGGATTCTTGGAACTTCCATTGTGGTGAGAGATTATGGTGGTGAAAGATCTAAGTGCCTCCTATATCCCTATTTATATATTTAAGACTCCTAATTAGGGTCTGAATGGTATGGGTTTACTAATTCTATTCCTTATAGGACTAAGGGCTTATTTTAGGGATAAGGGTCCATGGTCCATAGTGGACCATATTAATTAATTAAAGGGAATCCTAATCGTAGTCTGAATAGTAAAAGGCCTACTTCCTTTATTCCTAATAGATAACTAGGTCTAGGATTCCTAATTAGAATCTGAATAGTAAAGGGTTTACTTTCTTTATTCCTAATAGGCTTAAGACTCTACTTTAGGCAAGGGTCCACGGTTCATGGTGGACCTTATTAATTAATTAAAGGAAACCTAACCGAATTAAATCATATTTAATTATTATTAACGGGATTAATTAAATAATTAATCCGGGATTGAAGGCCGTAACACGGGGTGTTACAGTAATCCCCAATTACCCTGGTTGGCGTGTCCCGAACCCCTTCGACCGGGCGATTTTGCCCGCTTGTGGACGTCTCCTCGCTCTCTCCGCTTGAGCTCCCCGACCCGCTCGAGCTGGACCCGGACGCCCCAGATGAGCTCGATGACCTTCGTTGCTGGGGATCGCTCGGGGGCTTTTGGTGGTCGGTGGACGACCTCTAGCGAGTAAGACATTATGTCTATTTCGTCACTGATATGTTCGACCTCATCGTCGTAGTCCGCGATCGACACGTTCTGGCTATCCGACTCTGACATTTGGTCTACCTAAAGGCCGATCGGGGTTAGTTTGGGACTCAGGATGTTTGGGTCAAGGCCAGTTATCGCCTATAACGGGTATGCGGAAATGTAAAGCAAGAAACAAAAGTTAAGGACCAGAGAACTTACCGATTACCGAAACTCGGAAGCTTGAAAGTTACTTGCTTGACCGATCTGCTGAAATGCTTCGCTCGGGACTCTCTGAGTGTACCGACCGCTTCAGGAAGATTGGGAAAAGTTCAAATGAGGGCCTCAAAGGCCTATTTATAGGAGAGCATTTGGGCGGGAAACCAATCCACTTGCGTGATGCGACCGCTCCTGACTCCGAGGTGACCGTTGCGGTCGCAAAGGCCGGCAGTCCTCGAAACGTGGCGCGGAGGGAATGACAGCTGGCCGGTCGGTTTGGCGGCGGACGGTTGAGATTCTTCATCCCGTCCCATTTTTTCCCGGATGGTCAAAAAGGCACGGGCTGGGGGCTCTTGGTAGGGAATATCCCGACCGACATGCCTTCGTCCTTTTCTTCTTGTTTGTGCAGGAGACAGGTCGGATTTTCCTAGAAGAACCCGGTCGGGTACCGACCGGCGTCGTCGACCACCGAGCGATAGCCCTTAGGCGAAAGAGCTGAGAAGAGACACGTGGCAACGCTACGTGCTGACAGACAGGGCACCCGGGAGGGCGACACGTGGTTGCTACGTGGGCGACATGCCGGACGGCCGGACTTGTGTCTCCGGCTCCGCGGCTATAAATATCCACGATAGCAACAGTGAGAGGACTTTTGGACGATCGACAGGCTGTTATCAGAGTATCTCAACCGCAGTCAGTCGGTACTCAGAACAGCTATTTAGATTGTACTTAGGGCCTTCACTTGATCAATAAAAGACATTTATTTGCTTAAATTGATCTTCTTTATTTAATTACCGCATTACGTGGCAATTAATACTATCAATAATAATAATAACAATAATAACGATAATAACGATAATAACGATAATAACGATAATAACAATAATAACAATAATAACAATAATAATAACAACAACAACAACAACAACAACAATAATAATAATAATAATAATAATAATAATAATAATAATAATAATAATAATAATAATAATAATAATAAGAAGAAGAAGAAGAAGAAGAAGAAGAAGAGGAGGAGGAGGAGGAGGAGGAGGAGAAGAAGAAGAAGAAGAAGAAGTGGGCTACCTTCTTATTTTTTTAATTTAATTGTCTACCGTCTACGTAAGTAATTTCAAGTGGGCTTTTTTTTTCAGTTATATATTTTGATAAATTTAGCTGAAAAGTAATTGAAAGTTAAATATCTATAAGTTAGAGTTGTTAAGCTAGTTGATTATGCTTAAAAGTTGACTTGATTTAAGATCACTTTCAGGTGGTCGGAAATTACATAATTTCTAGCAGTGTAAATTACATGTTTACTCCAACTTAACGGTGCCGTACACTAATGGGGAACCACATGTCCATTACGAGAGGGGCTATATGTGCACCGTTTTGATAATTGAGAGACAAAATTTACACCACTCATAATTCAGGGGTGACATTGATAATTAGCATATTATAGAGCGGCATTTTTTACAATTTTTCCTTATATTAATGATGTGTAAGTAAGTTCGTATGTTTTTTTTTTTTTTTTTTTTTTTTTTTTTTGTCATTGGGTGCATTATTTTTTCTTTTTGAGTGCATATTTTTTTCTTTTTCAAGTGTATGTATATTTATCTTTCTTCAAGTGCATATATAGTATATTTCTGGTCAAACGAAGCGGGGGGGGAGGGGGGGGGGGGGCGGTGGGTGAAGACGCGTGCATGATCAAGGCTCAATTTATTTGCATTGACAAAATTTAATAATTCGATAGACTTTAATTTCGATTTGGTAAAACTTATAAGCTTGATTTTTGGATTGTTCAAATCTACAGTTCACATTGTCCCTTCTGGCTTTCTTATCTATACTAGTATAGTCCCCGTGCGATGCACGGGATGGATATTGTTCAAGATAGTTTACAATTGTGTGAATAATTGGTTACGTTATTGTTAAAATTTGCAATATTAACAAATAGTAAAAATTATTACAACATGTTTAAACAGAATATCCAAAAATACCGTTTAGTAAACAATTACAAATTATTGAAGATTTCATGGTATACTACGTTGGTTGTTGATGTAGCAGTTGTCCTTGAGTCGTTGTCAATTAATTAGGGTACGTTATACTAATGTTATAAACATAATGTAATAATTTAGATTTTTAGTTTGACGATTTGTTTACCAATTGCGTCATCGCTTTTACTTGGCGACAAATTCAGGTCAAATGTATGAATAAGGCGCTTCTTCGGTGGTGAATTATCCATTAAATCAATAACTTCTTCGCAATAAGCTATAATAGTTGTCATCAATTAAGTATTGTTATTATAGTATAAATAATGCATAATTGCGGATTAAGTGTTAGGAAAATTGTTTATATTAATATAACAATACTAACAATTTGTAATATTGCTTAAAGGTTGTTTGTAATTGCTTGTTTGACCCAAGGTGTTAGACATTAATGTTCTTGTAGTGGTAGACCCTGTTACGCAAAATAAAAGAATATAATTAGTTATATTATATAAATTCAGAAAAAATGGTTAAAAAAATACCCTGCTAGGATTTCTATCTTTAATCTAAAAAGCTCAAGACTTGCTCACCATTTGTAACAACACTAAAAGGTGTATAAAGTGTATTATGAAAGACACCCAATATTTGTGTTCTATTAGACGGTTGTGGAACTTGATTTGTTAACGATGATTGCGAACCTTCATTGGGTGTAAAATGTTCGTTCTCTGCATATTAGGACATGAATGTTTAAAGCGGTCATTAAGCGATTATATATTAGTGTCATAAAATATTCAACTTTAATTAAATAATAACCACGGCTAAACATGTGAAATAATGATAAAACTTCAAATTCCAAACATATAATAAATCTATATCTCTATAATTACATGCACTACCAAAAGTAAATGCTTAATGTAAAGTGAAATAGTCCAGTTTATATATTTTATATATAATGTATATAATCCTCAAACTAAATTTTTTAATCAGTTTTATAATATATATAGAGATTATAAATATTACTCCATTAAGTAACCATAGTGTTAGTTTTCTCACCAGAAGCAGTAATGGGTCATTGTTGACCTTATCTGTTACAATCAGATCTGGGTTATATTTTGGAAATGAGAATGATGCTCTGATTTCATACCCAGCGTTCACAGTTCTCGCTTTGCACACTTTTCTCTCGATTTCGTCCTATTTCTCTACATTATTTTCCAGATCATGCGCTCTCTGTTCGTAATCAGGTGTCGTTCGTTTGTAATCTTCAAACATCATCTCTCGATTTCGTCCTATTTCTCTACCGATTTGGAAACCCTACTCTGAGTTCGAGTTTGCTCGTAGATTCAGCAATCGCGAAAATGGAAATGAAGTCTCACACCTATATTTGTAAGTTTTTAATCCTGGTTCTTCTTTTCTCCGATTTACTACTTTAAAATTCAATTATAAGCTTTAATATAGGATTTATGCTTCATTTCGATTTTTTCTGTGAACTGATGTTACTTAATCGACAATCTAGAACCCAGAAATTTGAGTTTCAGAATCATGCATCTAAACCCTAAAATTTTGTTTATTTGATTTTTTTAACTTTCGATAATTTCTAATTTGATATTTTTAGATTTTTTGCAGTTTCCTATAAATCGAACATATTAGTGAATAAAAGTATAGTCATGCTTCTTGTTTTGCAGTGAAGGTGTTGGGGTCACAGATTTGATATCTTAGATGACCCAAAGCTAAACTTAGTAACCAAATATATTATGCAGAACAGATCTTCTACAGTCTTTAAATGTAAGTTAAAAACTTTTAATTTAATTGTGAGTTTATAAGTGTTTAGCAATAATGTTACTTTACGAATTTCCAAGACATTTAGTAATTGAAGTATTTTGTTAAAAATTTTCTAGAATGACTTTTGATTTTGCAGTTAAGGTGTATTCGTCACAGGTGTGAGATCTTAACTCATTCAATTTAAAAGTTGGTAACGAAACCGAGTATACAATTAGTCAACAGGTAATGTTAGAGTTTAATATGAAAAAGTGGACAATTAATGTTATAGTATAAGTTTGCCCTCAGTTATGCTTATTAAAATAGGTTTTTGCAGGGCTTTTGGCAAACTAATTTGCAAACAGAGCAGGTCATGTTACTTTACTAATTTGCAAACTACATTTACACATTGAAGTATTTTATGTGAACTGTTCTCAAACCTCATTTTATTTTGCAGTGAAGGTGTTGGGGTTACAGATCTGTGATCTTAGATGACCCAAACGTCAACTTGGGAACCAAAGAGAGTATGCAGTTCATATCTTTTACACTGCTTGGAGGATTAAGTTCCACTTCTTATCCAAATTGTGAGTTTGGAAGTGTTTTCCAGTAATGTTAGTTTACTACTTTTCAAGACACATTTAGTAATTGAAGTATAATATGCCAAATTTTCTTTTCTAACTTGACCTTTGATTTTCCAGTGAATTTGTTGGTTTATACAATCTGAGATCTTACCTGACCTTAAAGTATACTTGGTGACCAAAGAGAATACGCAGAACAGATCTAAATGTTTAAATGTAAGTTTGAACCATGTTATTGTAATTGTGAGCTTAGAATATTTGTGCAGTTCTCACTGTTTTAGTTAGGATATTTTAATTTAATTTTTCTCATTGACTAACCTCAGTTGTGGCAATTTACTTAGCAGGATGATCCAAAGTTGTGAGTGCGGAAGGGATACAGATTGTACTATGTTTTTCCAAGGCAAAGCAGGTAACATTTCATTGTTATTTTGTATATATACTTTACTGTGTATGTAAGACATTTTTCATTTTTGTGTGTTGGAAACTTCTGTTATACGTGTTTTCATGCTATTAATAGTTTATTTTATTGCATTTGCTATGAATGCCGATTTCCAATTAATAAGCATGTTGAAAAAAAAAATGTTTTTTTAGGATAACACTTCATAGTCTACTTGTGTTTAAGATACAAATCGTATAGTGTTCTACATCTAAATAGAACTTATTTAGTTTATTATAGATATCCTAAAATATTCTCTAACAATCTAGGATCTTGTTGTTTGATCTTCATGCACACCATATGTTCCTTGAACTTGATTGGCACAAACATCTTCTGATGCGTGGATCATTCAATATTTGTGTTTGTTTTCTATATTTGAACTCCAGCTACCTGCAAAAGTATAACAACTTTCGAAAAAACATGAGTAATAACTACCAATCATATTTTTTGGTAGTTATAGATTTTGTTATAAATTTCTCTGTTACAGAAATGCATGCAAATGGCTATCAACTGGGTTAAGACCTGTCATTTGATTATTGAGATAGACTATTTTAGGAATAGAAGTGAAGTCCTGCAAATTAGTGAAAAATAGCATAGAAAGCAGGAAATAAATACATAAAGAAAGTTTGGACAAAGTTTAACAGCAAACAAACTAATTAGAAAACATCCAAAATGTCTATCTGGGTTCATCCAGAGAGGGCCTACAACTTAGGCCAAAATTCTCAAAAAACATTGTCCAAACTGTTTCAAGCTTCCTTCAATTTTTCTAATTTCACAACAACTTCCTTTGTTTTTTTGGAGCTTTGGGTACTTGAAAATTCATCCATCAAGGACCTTTTAACTGCCCCTGCTTCATAGGCATCACCAGTGAGATTAAGGGGAATAGCCTGTAGAGGACTCTCGGCTTCATTGTCATTCAACTCATCCTAAACAAACATTTAAGTTTTATGTGTTAGGTATAGAAATGTTCAGACCAGAGTTAATAGGCAGCTAACAATATTTATGACTCCTAAATACCTCATCTTCCCAAAGATCATCTTCTGTAAGCTCAAGTTCCAACTTCGAGTTAAGGTCTTTATCCCTACCGAGCATCAACTGTGGGGCATGTAGCTCTAACATTTCCACATCATTGATAATCCTCATCACAGAAAAGGCATTTAGGAGGTTTAGAAACTGTTCCCTTCGAAACGCAATTCTGAAAATTAGGTTGAGACCAACCAATGATTGAATTTCAGCAGGCACACCATTTTTTCCCTACAGTAGAAAAGGATAAAAGTTTAATAGGGGTACATGTTCATTGAGCAAATCACAAATATAAGTAGTTAAGAAATTAGGTAAATGTATTGTGTTACCTGAGAATTTTTCTGTTTCAATTCCAGTGCACTCATACCTAACAACTCAGTGTATTCCCTATCCCACATGACAAAGGGAGCATTTCCTTTTATGTCTACAACCCTGATTTTAATCCTATACCTCAATATCCCATCTCCCCAAGTCCTATCACAGTCCTTGCAATATAGAAACTCTTTTTGGGGCTCCAACTTCTTGTAGCATGATTTAGTACGACACGATGGATAATACCACTCACCATCACAGTCAATGAAAATTATTCTAGCAGCTACCCAGAACTCACCAAACTGCATCATATATAATTACTTAGGATTTAGCAGCCAAAATAAGATGTTAACCATTATTAATTTGTTAGTTTGTGTGATTGTTTTCGTACCTCCTTCTTTGCATACACTTCTGTCAAAGTTCTTAATTGCAAATCATCCTTGAGGGAGACAGTGTATGAACTTCCAGGGTTGAAACTGGACTGTGAAACAATACTCCTCATCGGAGTTTGTTCAAGGCACAAACTGTGGGTAGAATTATATCATACACTATCTTGAGTCATTTTTTTTATAGAAGTTAAGAAATAATATGCAAATATTATTTGTAGATAAACAGTGTAATTCTTTTACATACCTTTCTCTAAACTGCATGAACTCTGGGCTTTGTTGATTGAATAGGAGTTGTGTAACATCATATGATGAACAGATTTTGATATCACCACCTAAATAGGAAAAAAAAACAATTGTTAAACCAACTTTAGCTAATATTAAAAAAAAAAAAAATCAGTAAAGAAATGAGTAGTTACTTTTCAAACAGGTTCTAGCTCTACAAAACTGTATTAAAACCAATAGTGGTTCTTCAGTAGCAGAATTGTAGTACACCTCCACTTTGTTTACGTGGTCATCCCATACAGTACAACCCAATTGAATACCACTATAATTTTTAATAGATGTTAGGTATGACTGCAAACACTTTAGGAATAGAAAGTTATAAAAGGGAGAAAATTAGAGACATACTCAGAATCTTCAATTACAAAGTCGATCAACCTTGAGTTTTTGCCATTTATTACCTTTTCTTGGGGAGCATGTATCTCTACCACACGGCCAATTACATCTAACACATTTTTTACAATGAAAAGTGTAACGTTAGTAAGAGCATTAAAAATTTAAAAAATTATAATAATATAGCCGTACCAAATAGTTGCTTCTCATCAACAGATTGATTAGCTTTTAGTGCCTTGAAATCCATCAACCTGTACATGTGCATTGGGAAATTTGTACCCTTCAACTCTTTTACAACAGTTTTATAATTGAATTTTATCATGAATTTATGTGGGCTGGTCTTGAAAGAGTAGAATTTAGTGATGACCACAAAGTTCTTAACACCATACACTTTGCCTTCTGTAAAAGTCGACCGGAATTTGTCTACAAATTCCTTGGGTATGTGGGCATGCAAAAAGGTGCCCTGTAAGCAATCGCAATTTATGATTTTAGATTATGATGTAATGGTCAGTAATATGCAAGATTTTTTCCAGATTACACAGTACGTTTCAAAAAAAAAAAATTACCTGCTGATCACGGAACACAACTTCTTTGGATTTGAGTACGGAAGACGACTTCCTTTCTTGGATGTCATATGCCCTCACAGTTCGCAAACGCAGTGCGTTGTGTGTATTCATTGGGGATATATCATTTGCAAGAACGTACATTGTTGCCTGCTTGTATCGCCTGCAACTTGTGCTATTACGTGTAGATGAGCTTGTGAGATCCAAAGATGAGCAATGGTGTACAATTGCTGAGACTGTTATTTAAATATCCATGGCCTGCACTATCGTTGAAAAAACCAATTCGGCGTAATGAATATGTGAACATAATTGTTTACATAAATATGTTATCGGAAAACGCAGAGACCAACCTATTTCAAATTAGGTCTTTAATTTGATTGGTTGAAACTGATTCTGTAAACCAAAAATAAAAGGAAACAATAATATTTTTTTTTAAAAACTCTTTGGTAACTGAACGGTCTCACCTGGATTCTTACGCATGTCATTTAATATTCTGATATTCTGGGAACGACGTCGTTCACTTTGGGCGGGAACTTTTTGTACTATGTTATTTTGCTTTAATATATATAGAGATATGGAGTATATTTATTCCCATCTTGTAGCAACACTTGTAGGAAGAAGGAATTATTCAAACCAATATATATTGAACACTGCTAGGAATAATGTATTGGATATTTTGTTGGCAACCCTCAATAATAATCCTACAAAATAAGGATTACTATTTTATGATAAAAGGGAAGGAAAGGGTGAAGAGATATGGCTCGGGTTTGGTGTAGGTTGTTAGCACGAGTCGAGCAAATTACTCTTTCCTTAAAACATTATTTGCTACATCCCACAAATGCTAAGAGCGTTGTAGCGTAGGTTTCCCAGGATAAAACGTGCTACGGTTCAAGGTTTGAGCACAAGAGCAAGGCTTAGAACACAGTAGGCTAAATAATGGAGTAGAAGCGGAGCTGAAAATTATGCTTTCGGATTAAATAGCATTTAATTTGATAATTATAAATCATTTCGAACAACATTGTTGTCTCAATTTGGGATTTGATTTCCACCCCTTGCACACAAGAAAACACATTTACACTATACAATTCAATAAACCTTAATAGAGCTATTGTAAAAATAGTGGTGCAAATCCACTTCTCAAACCAATGCGGGACAAAAGCTACTCCCAATATTTTTCCCTTCACTTTTCCAACTCAAATGGGTTTACTTTGAGAATCAATATCTCATTCACCCATTATCCGTTTTGAGCGTACAATATATCAATCTCTTCGTCTCACTACGAAGAATCCGAATCAACTTTGATCCGATCCAAATTGAAAGTTGACCCCACTGATAATTGTACCACAAAATAGCCACTTAATATGTCATTTTAAGCTATATATTTTTTCCAACATATAATCCTTGCAGGCACCTATATATTTAGGAGATTTATCAACTTCGCTAAGAAGATGCACTAGCCAATTAAACAGTAGACCTTGTATTTCATGTGTTGATGTATTCTAATAGATATTTTATCATTTAACGTTATCTGGAATTAATCCAA